TGATTCAAATTCTGATTAATTTTTAAATTATAGTTAATGTTTCATGAAATTGTATCTAAGTAAATAATTTAATAACTAAATGGAGTACATTTTTTGAAAGATGAACTTAACTCAAAATATATTTAAATAATTACATACTATTTTTGAAAAAATATATAATTAATAACTAGATTTAATTTTCAAAGGACACCAATTCATAATTCGGTTACGTTTCCTGTATATAATATATATTTGTAATGTATTACGTACCCCGATATTCTCTTTGTATGATATTCTCTTTGATATTCTCTTTGTATATTAATTTAATGAGAAATACTCAATCGTCTGTGAAAAACTGTTTCTTTTTTGTTTTGTTTGCTTAATTTCTTTTATACATCGTTCTAGATTTATTATAGTATTTGAATAGAACATGTTGCAATGATTAGATAATTCTTTAAATGATACAAATTTTGTGCATTCTGAGTTATAATATGAACGAAATATAACACTGTTAAGTGAACCTAGCGCCAGAGTGTCGCTATGGTAAACAAATAGAGTGAATTTTAAAGAATGCATTTATTGTATTGTGGTTTATGCGTTGTCGGCGAAGTAGATTTAATTCAATCCAATAAGTTTAAATGAAATGCAAGAAAAAATGCGTATAATTTAATATTCCATGCAAGGAAGTCATGTGGTGTACACATCAGATTTTTCACATACAAATTTAAATAATATCATTATACAATTAATGCACGGAAAAGGAGGGCATATTAAGGGAAACTGGCTAGAATCCACGTTGCACATGGGAAAAGCCAAGAAATCGTCCCTGCAACCAGCCCGTTTGTCAAACCTTAAAGCCCAGACCGAACTACCAGTGTTCAAAGACTTTTACTGCTCTACCGTTGATGAGCTCTATGAATAATACCTATAGTATTCCTATATACTATATTCATCCAGAATTATTCAGCAGAAATTTCATTTACTAAGTTTTTATAAAACAATTTTGTATTCGATTAAATCATTTTCCTTCATTAAAAGTTTCATATGCTTGAAAAACATGTTTTAAAATATAATAATTTCAGTTACTGAATTTTATAAAGAAATATTGTATTGGTTAAATAATTTTCCTTCATTAAAAGTCTCATTTGTTTGAAAGTGCTTAAAAATACACATCTGTTTTTTAATTAGTAAAATGATTTTTGAAAGTCCTAGTAGAAATTCCTTTAACTCTGCACAATCTTCAACTGAGAGAATATCAAATAAATTCTCAAAATAAAATCAAAAATCCTTGTTAAAAAAAGTTTGTTGTCATTTAAATTGCTTTATGAAATATTTGAAGAAGAAATTAAAAGAGAATCCCCTTATACATATTCAGAAAAGAAAGTTTTTAAACTATAAAATGAATTATTATAATTCATGAAACTCTCAGTTTATTTTATTCAGTTTGGTTTTACGTAGCGACAACTGTACTATAATAAAGAACAATTTATTACAGTAATATAATTAGTAAATATTGAATCGTGTGATTATAATCAGGAGGAATTCGCGTAACGTGTGTGATATTACAAGATTATGTTTTTGGTTTATACAATATAAACACCTTTAACAGTTTTGAAACTGAAATTACATTCTCCAATGTGAGGGTAACTACATAACCATCAAAATTGTAAAAATGCACATTTCCTCGCATATTGCTGATTACTGTTGCTTATTATAAATAGCTTTAACATTTAGTTTTTTGGCATGATCTTTTTGTTACTAACAAAAATTGCGAATTAAACGAAGAACTTTAATTGACTGAAATCTCAGGAGAATTATTTAGAATTGGTACAATTAGTACACTCTGAATCCGGAAAAACAACAGGTTATAATTTCTAAATTTGACAACTGAATTTCATTACACACCCATAAAATATTTTAATATTTAATATTTTATATTAAGCCCAAAGGATCGTTTCTTTCATTTACACACATACGCGTTTAAAGAGCATTTGGGCAAACGCTTCCTTTTAGCTAAAAATATTTATAGATAGAATATCTTTAGAATTTCTTATAGACAGTCTCTGCGCTGGAGATAAAAATGTTTTATTCCGTACAGTGTTGCCACTGATCGCTTTGAAATAGTTCAGTTTATTTAATCAAAACTCGTCAAAGTTTTAGAAAATGTGAAACAGTCAATAAAACTAATACGAAATTCCAAATTCGGGTTTACAGGTGCCAATGTTCTTGTGAAAGACTGTGTTATTCAAAATGTGATAACTCTAGGTATCGTTATTTTTTCGCAATACGGGAAACATACGTACATTTACGTAGATTCTTCATTACTTAATTTCTTTAAAGATAGCGATAATACTTGGTAGCAACAATCTGAAAAGTGATTCAAAGCTTTTAGTTATTCGAGTCAAAATGCCGTTTTGAAACTAATGGCCATTTTGGGCTAACGGTCCTTTCAGCAAAGAACAAATGTATATCTTACTATTTTCCTCAGAGGTATATTCTTTCCAAGTTCTCCAATGGTAAATAAGAATTTTAATTAAAGGCTTTTGATAGAGAAAACTAAAAGCTTCATTTTTACTTCCTTGTACGAAGTAAAAAGGAAGTATTGTAATCCCGAAAAGTTTCAGGCAGCATATTTCAACGCAAATATCCATTTGACATCTGTACGTAAAGACAGAATAAAGGACTCTTTTACCACAAAAAAAAGTAAAAATAATTTCTAAAGAGAATTTTTCGTAGCGTCTGTGCGAACGTACGTGTGCATCTCGCATAACTCAAAAACGAATAGCCTCCAAACGTTGAAATTTTGTATATAGGACTGCTATAACATGTAGATGTGCACCTCGTACTTTGGTTGCAATTGGCCGCCCCAAACGTATATAAATGCATTTATATATATATCCACTCTGTTACCCGGCTCAGTGATCTCAGTTTCCTTACTCTTATATGTTTGTAAATTGTACATTTTTTGCTTTAAAAATGATTGAAGTATGTTGTTTTAATATTCCGGTTAAGAATTTTATGCCTTAAGTAAATCTGTGTGCAATATTTTTACAATTATCAACAAATTTAAAGTTGTTTATGTGCCGATCAGCCTAATAATGTTTTTGATGGCGGCCATTGCTTGTTTACATTTGAAAAACCAGAGTAGTGGATTTGTTGCCAATCTAGAGAAAGGTAGCTTCGCAACAACAAAGATAACACCTTCATTTATTATTGCGAATAAAATCCTGCTTAATCTTTTCTGGAATTTTTTCGAGGAAATAAGTGTTTAAGATCTACTTCGTAATTTTTAATATAGATATTTTGAGTTTTTATGTATTTTTGCCTTGTGTGAATTGAATTAATTGAATGAGAAATACTCAATCGTCTGTGAAAAACTGTTTCTTTTTTGTTTTGTTTGCTTAATTTCTTTTATACATCGTTCTAGATTTATTATAGTATTTGAATAGAACATGTGCAATGATTAGATAATTCTTTAAATGATACAAATTTTGTGCATTCTGAGTTATAATATGAACGAAATATAACACTGTTAAGTGAACCTAGCGCCAGAGTGTCGCTATGGTAAACAAATAGAGTGAATTTTAAAGAATGCATTTATTGTATTGTTGTTTATGCGTTGTCGGCGAAGTAGATTTCATTCAATCCAATAAGTTTAAATGAAATGCAAGAAAAAATGAGTATAATTTAATATTCCGTGCAAGGAAGTCATGTGGTGTACACATCAGATTTTTCACATACAAATTTAAATAATATCATTATACAATTTAGTTCGGTCCGAGGTTCGAATCCCGCGAAGGGGGTGGCTGCATGGGTGTTTTCGTGGTTTTCCCCATGTGTAACGTGTATACGAGCCAGTTTCCCTTAGAAAGTCCTCCACGAAGGCATCCCTCCTTAGGCAGATAGCCCTAGTGTGCTTTGCCATAATTAAATACACCACCACACCACACCACACCATTATACAATTAATGGTTCTAGTATCAAGAATTTTAGATACGTAATATCAATCCAAAAATTATTGAAAATATTATCTGCATATATCGTAATAACAGTATAGAACAATTGTTTTCAAGCCTTCTTATAATAAATGCGTTTTCACAATAGCCTAGAGTTAATTATATCCACAAAGACTATAGGGTATTTCTGACCGCCTTCTTAGCATGCCTTCGTAGTGTAGTGGTCAGCATGTTCGATGCGAATTCGAGAGGTCCGTGTTTCGAGTCCCGGCTAAGGCATTGCTCAGTTTTCATTGCTTTCAAAAATTTTTAAAACACCTAATGTCCCTATAGTGGCGCCCGAACTAAAATCGTGGTGAATGATGATTCTTCATCATGAAGATTTGGCGACTGGGTCCCCTAAACCTCCATTCGCCCTTTAAAAGGGGAGTATATAAGGTATTTTTCCCACTTTCTTAGCCTGCCTTCGTAGTGTAGTGGTCAGCGCGCTGGATGCGAATTTGAGAGGACCGTGGTTCGAGTCCCGGCGAGGGCATTGCTCATTTTTCATATCCCCTGCTTTCAAAAATTACCTAATTGCTCTGGAAGTCATTATATTACTATCAATATTAGATGATAACTGAAAGTTTTATAGAAATTAGCAACTGCAAGAGAAACAACATCTTTCAACATATCCAATTAATAACACCTATTTAATCATATCTGCATATTTCGAAAATGTTACATAAGTGTTTAACCAAAAAGCAGCTCTTAAATATATAAGACGCGCTAATATTAATGTTTGTTTTCTGTATATTTGCAAGAAAATTTCCTGTTGCAGGAATGATTTAACATGGCTTTAATATTTGATTGAACTATTTATCCCGAGCTAATAGTAAATTAGTTTTTTTTAAAAGAAGCGTCTCGAATTTTGATCAAACGTGTCAATAAAGATCATGCCAAGGTTTCACGAAGAATGAGTACAAAGTGAACAGGTGCTATCCTATCCGCATTTGATATTGACATTAAACCAGCTGTTTGAACCGATTTCAAAACATGTCATAAAATAAGTTCTTCTTTGTAAGTAAAACTATCATGCTAGTCTCCTAAATTTAGGTTCTCTTGGATAATTTATATTTAGAGCATACCGGAAAAATGATGAAGAAATTAAATTTGCCTTCATATTGCTTTATTTAGATGCACACGTTAGCGCTGTCTATTGAGGTAGGTGATAAAAATATGATTGGTAAATGTATGGAATCATGTATTTAAAAAGTGAGTTTTCGAAAAAACGGTATATTCGATAGTTGCATTAATGTTTCAAGATTCCCTTTTATTTTCAGATTCACACCTTATGTACTGGACCCGATGAATTATCGAAGTTATTTCTTCAGATCCATGCACATTAACATGAATATTGTATGTTATACAAACCTTAATTTGAAGAAGGAATGCTGATTTTCAATATTCGTAAATCATATGTGTAGAATAATTTACTTTGTTAGCATTGTGGATGTTTAAATTTCAGAGGAAATAATACTATCATTGGGTTCAACTAGGCAATAAACTGAAATTATCTCTTACATTACTTATTATTATTAATTATATAGTACTCTTTGTTACCCATTGTATAGTACCCAAATGGCGTTAGCCAAGAACGTTATTAGTCTCAAAATGGGATTTTGCGTTGAATCACTATTAAAATCTGAATAACTTTTCAAATTGTTGCCACCAAATATTATCACCCTGTGTTATACTAAAAGAAATTAAATAATAAAGTATCTACATGAACGTATATAGATTTATCGCATTGTGTAAAAACAAGCGTAACTAGAGCCATCAAAGTTTGAATAACGTAATCCTCCACCATACCACGGTCACCTGGACGGCGGAATTTCGAAATTGTTTTACTATCTATTTTTTTTTTTTTTTTTTTTTTTAATTTTAACAAATTTTTGATTAACAAACTCAAAGACATCAAACCGATCAATGGCCAAACTGTAGAGAAAATAACACTTTTATCTCCAGCGTGCGAGTCTGTCTATCGGAAATTCTAATGACATGCTGTTTTTAAATATTTTGTGGTGCTACGTTTGAGTTGAATTTTATCGTTTCAGTGCGAAGAACATGATATTTAATAAATAAAGGTAACACACAAAACGTTAAAAAAAAACGCCCCTTTGGGCATAATACAAAATTTGAAAGCTTACAGATTTTATTATTATTATTTTATTCCTTTCTTCTTTTTATAAATGATACAAAATCTTTATTCTCATTATTATTTATGCAATAAACAACGAATCCTTTATACTGTTAGCATGTTATTGTTTTAAAAGATACAAAATGTATTATCAGATACATTTATAGTATAAAAAATTATATTATAGTGACATTTATTGCATACATTTTTAGTAAAATGTATTATCACATCACATACATAAATATGTATTATCACATACATCATTACAAAATGGTTTATTGCACACATTTATTCACATTGTATTATCACATACGTTTTATATATATAGTTAAAAACTCATTTTTATTGAAAATATTAGAAAGTACATACGATACCAAGATGTAATATATTATATCAGACATAACATTTCCAGTTAAAGAATGTCCGATACAGAATACTGGAAACTATCACTGGGATAAAATAAAGCTGTCTTTTACAATGCAGCCAATACTTTCAGGATGATATGATGTACACTATCAGACATCATCAGACATTCAGTAAGATGCTTCATAGATTTTTTAGATCTCTTAATGATTTTGCGTTTATTAACTCATTTTTTTATTTATCAACTGAAAGATTAAACAGTTTTTAAACAAGAAAACAGTTGTAGAGTCATTAGGTTAATTGGAAGAAGAAAAGATGAAAAATATGCAACCGCCTTCGCCGAGAATCGAACCACGGACCTCTGGAATACCGGCCCAGCATGCAGAACCACTACACCACGAAGGCACGCTAGGAAAGTGAGAGAAATACCTTATATACATTGTGTTTTAAATTACAAGAACTTATTGACTAGTCTGCTAGACAACGAGAAACTAGTTTTCAAGTTTCTGATGTTAGTTAACTTATGGCAATTTCAGGTTCAATACTTTTTCAGATTATTCTTTTACATATGTAGATATTATTAGAGAACATGTGAAATAAGACAAAACTCAACAGTATATTTAGATCATCTATACTTTTAACCCCTTAGAAAAAAGATTGGATCATTTCAAATATCTCAAGCATGATTTTGAAGAAAGATACATTCCTTAATATACTGACTAAACACTTATATTTTTCAAAGAGAAATTTCAAGCTAAATCCTAGCTCAATAGACTGTTTATTTCAATAAGATATTTTCTATATTGGTTGAATTTTCTCTTTTAAATATTGACAGAAACGCAATGACATCATTGATTGCATTTCTAAGCTTTTGATTTGGATATATAGCAAAGCAGGTAACAGATTATTTATTCTGGAGTATAGACAATATACCGATGTAATCATTCTCCAGTTCATTGCCAGTATATTCAGTTAGAAAGGAACAAAATATGATAAATTATAAATTTATAATTCAGTCAAAATCTTAGGAACTGGATATCTGAAAATAATCTTATCAATTCTAAACTTAATTAAGGATACGGTGTTTCAATCATTATCACAAGAAGCCGGAATTATAGAAGTGTCCTAAGGTATAATCAAAGATTTTAAGATTTGAAAAAAATTGCCAGTCGATTTAAGCAGACATAATAGCTATATTAAATAATCCCTCGATAAAAAGATTAAATTGCTTTTATTCACTGTTTGTGTTTTTGGTTCCAATTGTTTTATGTGCCCAAATCTCAGCACCATACCTTTGTATAATGTTTAGTTTATAAAAGAAAACAATTTAAAATTTCCAGAAATTCCGGCTGTCATTTTTGAAGTTGAGGGTGAAATAAAAGCATAAATAAAACGATTGGATCCGTGTACAATTTGGGATTGAAAATTAAATTCCTGAATAAATATTTAAAATCCTCGAATTGTTAGTAGGCTGTAATTCTATACTGAGCGCTAATATTATTATAAATTTTATTCTGCTTCTAAAATACTCGAAGAAAATTTCAGATTTTATTTTAGTTTCCTTACGTTAGAAAGATATCGAATAAGGGATTCATTTCTTTCATAAAAATGTAATAAAATCAAATTTTCTAAGTCTTTCGTCCTTATACTACACTGGTGTGCAAAAATTAAGGACGAGACGGTTTTTTTAATATAACTTTGTACAAAAGCTTCCCAAATCAACACATTTAATACCGTAAGATCCCCAATACGTAAGGACATGAGTAATGTAAGCAACACTTACTAAAAGAGAAATCAGAGGGATAAAAAGAAGCTTTATTGAAAAAAGCAGCATGAAGCGCAATGCGACTGAAGGCCAAAACATCCCTGTGATGGGTGTCCAGCAAGAAACATCCGGTCTTTAATAGGGGATATGATCTCCCCTGGCTGCTAGGCAGGATTCACAGCGTCTGGCCATGCTGAGAATGAGGGTGTCAATGAGTTGTTGAGGCATTGCTGCCCATTCGTCTTGCAGCGCCAATAGAAGCTCCGGAATCGTTACTGGTGGTAAGGTACGAGCTGCCAAGCGTCTGCCTAGAAAATCCCATACATGCTCGATGAGATTGAGATTCGGAGATCGTGCCGACCAATCTATACGTTCAATATCCTCACTCTCTGAGAGCTGTTCGGCAGCTACTGTGCGATAACATGATGCATTGTCGTCCGTGAAAAGGAACTGCGGACCCATAGCGCCTCTAAAAAGACGCACATATGGGAAGAAGAATCTCGTTACAATAACTGGTCCCGTTGACTGAACCTGCGTCGAAGATGTGAAGGTCTGCACGACTACCAAGCATGATGCCTCCCCAAACGAGGACACTGCCACCTCCATACCTGTCCCTTTCAATCATGTTCGAGGGATGATTGCGCCTCGTCCCCGCTCTCTCCAGATGATTATGCGATGAGAATCGCTACTTAGACTGAATCTGCTCTCATCTGTAAAGAGTACTCGTCCCCATTCATAGTCTCTCCAATTCCGGTGTCCCCGGCACCACAGAGAACGCCTTCTCCGACGGACAGGCGTTAGAGGTACACATCGTTCAGGGCAAACAGACCACCACCGTGCAGTTTTCTGTCCACGGTAAAACGCGATATCGGTCGTCCAGTCGCCTGTGTCGTGTGTCTAGCGATGTATCCCGCAGTCTTCCGCCTGTTTCTTCTGGTCTGTAAGGCAATATACCGGTCATCTGCGGTTGTGCTTCCTCGTGGACGACCACTACTAACCCCCCGGATAGCTGTTCCTGTAGTTTGAAATTGTCTCCAAAGTCGTGAAATGATGCTGTGAGCAATTCCGAACTCTGCAGCCACACTTGTCACACTGGGGCCTTCCTCCATCTTCCCAATGATTCGACCTCGTGTCAAAGCATCCAGATGTCGCCTTACAGATTGATTATTCGCCATTTCTTGCTGAGGCAGCAACTCGGTGTGATTTTAACTGCTATACGGCGTGCAATCTCTTTGCCAGAAATACCGATCTTACACCGACAACATTCTTTATACTACTCAGACACTCCCCCATTACGTCTACCTGCATATCTGCGCATGTGCTACCGTACATCACCTTACTTAATCTCCTGATTGGTCTTTCTGTTCGCTTTGTCTCTTCGTTCAGCTGATATGCTAATTTTTCGACTTCGTCCTTAATTTTTGCACACTAGTGTATTTCTTATGTAGTCTTTGCAATAAAATACTAAAATACTCATTTCGAAATATTTTCCTAAAATGCTTTCTTAAGTTTGTGTGATATCTGCAGTATTTGAATACATTATTTTTGACTAAGTTGTACAGATCAGGCCTTCTTGCGGTTTTAACACCTGAACAGCTGTCGGAGATGTTCATGGTGCAAGATTACCTTTCTGATCTAAACGTTTATCAGAAGTCGGGCATTGATAACACTTTCAAAGTTGCAAAGACTAGTTAACTTTTACAGCATGTTAAAAGCAACTTCACTTAGACTTCTTAGTGTTTTCTCTCTTTGTATTAATTATTCACACTAACCTGTCCAGCATGCTTCAACTGAGAGTTGAATTTGCATAGCATTCTCATAGATGTATTGGATGTATTGGATTTCAATGGATTTATTTTCCAATCTGTTAAACTGAAAAGATTTCCGAACCCAGCACTATTAACTGTATTATGACTACTGGCAATTTCTGAATGTCTTCTCCTTCAACTATATCTTTTTTATCTCGGGAGGGGGAAGGTTTAGTGCAGCAACTTTGTAAAGTTTTCGAAATTTAAAAGTACAAGTCGGTGAAATAGTGACCAATGCTTCAGAAAACGAAGTGATTAAAGGATAAATGGATCTGAAGACAAATACAGAATTATCATTTACAGTATGTATAACTGGTCGACCTTCCTGTACCGCCATTAGAGGCTTAACAGGTCTTAGTGGAGCTATTTAATTAAAGAAACATTGAGATCTAAAACAAGGCCTAAATCAGACCAATTAAGCAGTAGAACTACCATCATACTACCTGAAA